CCTTTTTAGTAGAATGTGTTAAGTACCAAGTAGCAGCAATCTTGAATATTGTTGTGCATTTTATGATGTGTCTATGGCAAAGCACAATACAAAGTTCAAGAGTCCCGATACTCTGTAATATTTCAAAGCAATATACTTTTGAAAACAATCTTTGTTTTGCTTATAAACTATGTCTTCTGGTACCATAATGATTTTATATAGAGATATTGAAGAGGATGACCTTCAATTTTTTTTATTTGAAACTTCCTTTAACATCACAAATGCCATGTAACTTATTACTCATTCACAACTGCCACGAATTGTCATAGCATGAAAAAGACAGATATGTTATTACAGTTTCCATCAATAATGGATAACCCAATGCCACCATAACAGCTGTGGTAACTAACATTGTTTGCAAAAGAAAGAAGTCACACATGAAACAGAAGAACAGAATACCGTATTCGTGCTTCTTCTCATGCTACAATGAAATCTCTGAATATTAATGTTTATTGTTTGATCTCATCTGCTATGGAACCATGCTCAACAGGCTCGATCAGTTGAGTGTTGAGAGCACTCATTCATGCAGGAACATTTTCAGAAGGTGACATGGGGGTTCATCATGAGCTCCATCATATTTTTCCATGCCTTTTAATATGCAGTCCCTGCAAAGATCATCTAGGGATTTGGAGTGTGGTGTCATCAGGATCATCTGATAAGCTAACGTTGGCCAATTCTGGACTAGAACAGTCTGGCCACAGTGTTCCATGCTTTGGTAATTTCCATCTTATAAATGGGGCTGCCACTGAAGGCAACTTGGACACTTCAAGTTGTGCAGAATTCAGCTGCCAACACTTTAACTGGGGCAGGAAGATTTGTTCATATTACTCAATGTTTAAAAGAGGTGTACTAGTTGCCAGTTCACTTCCTGCTGGTATTTCTTCCCAAACCAATTTATCCATGTCTTATGACTTCCTCCTAAGGTCATGTTCCAATTGCTTTCCTTACAGGAGACATGCTATGTAACTACAAAACAAATGGCTTTTTCAGTGGTGGAGCCCCAGCTTTGGAATCCCATTTTTATAAGAAGGGATGGGAGGCTATTTTAGAAGATTTCTAGCATCATTTTAAAATACCTTAATTTACCCAGGAATTTTAAATCCACATAAATTAATATTTGTTTCTTCAGTTTTTTTGCTACCTCTTGTTATGTTCCTACAATAACAGAATCTTAACATCTGAATTTGAAGAATGTTGCTGTAAAATGTTTTATATAAAAGTAGATTAAAAAATAAATGGATCAAGTGAAGGTTACTTTAAGTCAACACCCAGTCCCTTGTTAAATTCACAATGACTGTTGAAAACAAAGACTGACATTTTCAAGTTTACTCAAGGAAAAAAATGTAATAAAATGGCTAAGCGCAACTCCCTTTGCCACACTTAGAAACATAGAGAGTCAGAAGGGGCCTCCCGGGCCATCTAGTCTGACCTCCAGCACCAGCCAGCTCTGCTCACGACATGCCCACCATGTGGACGTCCAGCCTATCCTTGAACACCCGCACCGATGGGGCCTCAACCACCTCCCGTGGAAGCCCATTCCACACCCTCGGGGTCCTGACTGTCAGGAAGTGCTTCCTGGGATCCAAATGAAACATTGGCTCCCTGAGCTTTGCTCCGTTGGAGCGCGTCCTGCCATCCTCTGCAGGGGAGAACAGGTCTCTACCCATCTCCATGTGACATCCCCTCACATACCTGTATGTCGCCAACAGATCCCCTCTGAGTCTCCTCCAGGCTGAAAAGACCCAGTTCCCTCAGTCTCGCCTCATACGGCATCCCCTGCAAACCGGCCACCAACCTTGTGGCCCTACGCTGCACTGACTCCAACCTGGCTATATCCTTTCTGTAATGAGGGGCCCAAAACTGAACACAATTATACTTAAGTAATTAAAAATAGCTATTATGACTCTGGGAATGGAACAGCATTTAAATGGCAATGTGAAAAAATCATTTTAAATTATGCTTTAAATTATTAATTACATTTTTCAAACTCCCTATCATAATGTTAAAATTCAGTATCATTTAAGGATTGGAAAGTGTGAGAACACACACAAGTATAACCAAGATGCGAAGCTTCTGAACTTAAAACATTAAAGGACTTATTCAAAGTATATGTTTTTTATTCCAGCAACTGATCAGCACCTAAATACTTGGTAACAGAGTAACACAGTGTTAAATCAGTTGTGAGGAAACAGCTATTAACTTATTTGAAAGCATACCTGGAAATGAGCAGGGGAGGCTGGCTGAAGCCTGATGATGTAGGCATTTTTGGGGAAAAAAACAGACACCAGTGCATTGTCAGTGACACTGCCTTCCAGTATGTTTCCTGGCCCAACTAGATAGAAGTGGCATATCTGAAAGATTACTTCTAGGGTTACAGAGAAACTTAGGCTTGAAGGCTTTATGTGCATCAGTAGTTTTTGTTTTACGGCTTATTTGCATCACCTGGCACTGTCTAAAGCATGGGTCCTCAAACTACAGCCCACAGGCCGGATCCGGCCCGCCATGCTGATTTATCTGGCCCGCCTCAGAACTTTTGGACTCACTTGGAGAAAACAATTTCCGAGCGAGTCCAAAAGCTCTGAGCCAGTCCAGGCATACTTGGTGCGAAGATGGCCGCAATCGCGGGCGTGCTTGTGCAGGGAAGAATGGGTGTGATCGTGGTCATGCTTGGGGGTGGGTGAGATGGCTGCGATCACGCCCGCCTTCCCTGCATGAGCATGACCGCAATCACACCCATCTTCCCTGCATGATAGTGCGGGGGGGGGGGGGGTGATGGCCGCGATTGCAGGTGCGCTTGTACAGGGAAGGCAGGCACAATCGTGGTCATGCTTGGTATGGGCGGTCATGTCCATCTCCCCCCCACCAGCATGATTGCAGACATTATAGCTATGTTCCTTGAATATGGACATGCTCTTCCCCACCTCCTCTTGGGCTTCTGCTGCAGCCCAAGCGAGTAGAGCAAACATTTTTTAATTTTTAACTATTTTTAATGTGCAGTGTGCATAGGAATTTTTTCATATTTTTTTCAAACTATAGTCTGCCCCTCCAACAGTCTGAGGGACAGTGAACTGGCCCCCTGTTTAAAAAGTTAGCGGACCCCTGGTCTAAAGCATCAACATTCTTCTAAGAAAGGTAGCAAGAGTTTGAAATCTCCCAGGAATGGGAATGCCCTTCATGATAGCAAGGTGGCTCATTGCTAATTGTATCTTCTATCAATTAAAACAAGCTGCACAAATGGATATTTTTGATAAATGCAAATGCCTCCCTTGCTATCAAATCTCCACTCCTTTCAAACCTATATACAGGCCAATATAGATGGCATCCTGAGGCATACTAACCTCAAAATAAATCCAGTTAAACTGCCATCTGGGCAACCTCATGCATGTATTCTATCTATGTCTACCAAACTATATCTTGGAAGCATGACTTTGGTAATGCTGAATCAGCAAGTTTTAATTCTTTCGAGTACACAGGAACCCTTGGAGGTTCCTTTCATTTTCTGGAGTCAGGCTATTGAGTTCTTCTTTCTACAGCATCCTGAGTTCAGACCCAAGGTTACTGATCCCTTTGTACTCTATGTTTTGAAATCTCTGACAATCATCAAGCTCAGGCACCCAGTACTTGTTCTTGCTTAGGGATGGAGAAGAAATTAAGGTCAGTTCAGAATGCTGACTCAGATGTAATTTGTGACTGAAGCCTGTACATTTCTGAACTTGTAATGTGATTCAGACAAACAAAAATTGTGTTAGAAAAATGTATACATTTGGGAAAAGTGCAGAACTAATCAAGTGCAATATTAAAATGAGTGCACACAGATTTTTGTCAATGGGAGAAAACTGCACAGAAAAAGTGTACATATGCACACATTTCCATACAATGGAAAAAAAAGTCTTCAACCTGATACAGACTTAACTTGGAATTGACTCAGAGTCCAGTAGTTTATCATTTGGTTAATGGGGAATGAGCCTCTATGTTGAGGTTGAGGGAGCTGAATAAAGTACGACCACCTTCCTACCCATGCCTTTAAGTCCCTCATTTGTCTACTTCGCCCAATACTCTTGCTACTCTGTCAATTGCCCTCTGAGTAGGTAGGATCCAAGGAAAATCCTTGTTTGAGGATACTATTTAAACAAGCAAATTGTTATTAGTCCCTAAGCCTAAATCTTGTTCCATCAACATTACTGTCAATTACCGAACACCATTACTATGTCCAGCAAAGGAAGTTGCATATATCATCCTCTTGATTGTTTCTGGCAATGTGGAACGGGATGGCACTGAAATGTGACAATATTGCAAGTATTATACCCATCCTTGCCTTAGCATGTCACATAGGGATTAATAGGTCAGCATTAACTCCATTTACAAAACCTTTTCCTCTTCTTTGCAGGTATTGGTAATTTGGTAATCCCGCTAGGGAAGAACTTGAAAATGGAAAGACAAGACAAAAGCAAAGCAATGAGAAAAAGCACCTAATTCATTAGCCAAATACTGATTAGTGCTCTGAATTGTAGCAATCCTCTGTGGAAAGTTGCAAACATCAATTACAGGCCAGAGATCAAATGCAGTTCCTTTCCATACCTCAACTGAGAGCTAGATCCTTTTCATTTTAAAGAAAAGGGGGGCAATATTGGAGAGTAACTTGTGTTTTCCAAATCCTATTTCCCATCATCTACCTCCCATAGAGTCCTTTCAACAGCAACAACAAATGCCTCTTCACAGTTTAAAGCACCACAGGAACTGCAAATTAGTTTCAGATGAAACACTTCCTCCAAGGTCATTTTCCCTTCTTTCATACAATTTCATAGAGTCCTATTTTAATCTTTTCTTTCACAGCATATAAAATTCACTACATTGTTATGATAAAGCAAGCAACATCTAGCAAAGGTTAACTATTCTCCATGTTAGCTAAAAATAAAATAGCACAATTAAGCAATTTAAGCAAATGTAAAAGATTCCCCTACCAGCTTACTGCCAGATCATGTACTTTCAAGGTGTTGCTCAGCCTATACACTCCAGACTTCAATGGGCGCACACATTCTTTTGCACGAGCAAGGTAAGGATTCACTTGAATGTCTTCAGGAAATTCTGAATCCTAGAAGAAAAGCAAGCCAATTTCGAATTAACTGGCAGCATTTAAACTAGGTTTATCAAACTGTTACCAACATTTTCACCTTGTCCATCTTCAGTATTCCATTTACTAGAATTAATAGAAGCTGTTCAGATGTTATTTCTGCTCTGAAAGTTTGTCAGATTCCTAAATACAGCCCTAAAAGACAGCTTTTTAATTTCATTTTCTTTTTTTCTTTTTTTACTGTTCTATAGGAAAAAGCCCCACACCATACCTTTAAAGAAATTGGGGACAGTAAAAACCTGGAACATTGAAATTTTTAAAATGTTTCAGTACACACATATGTGTGTGTGTGAGTATGGATCTTTTACAGTGTATTCATATATATGTAAATACAGTGTATTCATATAAAAATACATATGTATATATGTGGATGTCAATAAGTGCATGTATATGTATATGTATATGCATATGTTATTTTATTTATTTATTTATTTATTTATTTAGAGTTTTTGTATGCCATCCCATCGCTTAATGCCTTGGGACGGCTTACATAAATAAACATAGTACAAAAATACAGATTATACAAATTAAAAACCCAATTCATTCCAGTTGCAAATTAAAACCTATAGTTAATATTAAACGTTATTAAAATATTGTTTAAATAAAAAGGTCTTAGCCTTGTACTAAAAAAACAAATAACGACAGCGCCAGGCGGACCTCTCTGGGGAGCGCATTCCATAGATGGGGCACCACCACAGAGAAAGCCCTCCTCCGGGTACTTTGCCTCCTGATGTCTTTCACAGAGGGCTCCCGGAGGAAACAGAAATGAAACAGAACATATTACCATAATTAAAAACAATTATGGATAAACTTCAACAAAGGTACTTCCAATATCCATTTGTAGATTATGCCTATTTATTTATTTATTCGATTTATATCCTGCCTTTTTCCTACAAAGGGCTCAAGGCAGCTTACATCATTCTCCTCCTCCATCTTATCCCCACAACAACAACTCTGTGAGGTAGGTTGGGCTGAGAGTCTGTGACTGGCCCAAAGTCACCCAGATGGCTCCATGGCCGAGCGGGGACTAGAACCTGGATCGCCTGAGTCCCAATCCCATGCTCTTAACCACTACGCCACACTGGCTCTCTAAAGAGCGCCTATTCAAAAATCAAGACATTCATTCAGTCCTCCATCCATTGTGTTTTTGCAGGTGGCTATGCATCCTTCAAACGTTACACTATAAGCATTTTAGCTGTCAAGAGGGTGCAGGAAATCCATTTACACTGACCTAACATTAAATTTCAAGAGATGAGAATAAGTAATTGGGAAGAACATTTATATCCTTGAATATGAAAGAACTTTCCATCACATAAAGGTAAAGGGTTCCCCTTGATGTTAAGTCCAGTCATGTCTGACTCTAGGGGGCGGTGCTCATCTCCATTTCCTAGCCGAGGGAGCCAGCGTTTGTCTGCAGACACTCTCCGTGGTTATGTGCATGACTAAATAGTGAAGTGCACGGAATGCTGTTACCTTACCACCAAAGTGGTACCTTTTAATCTACTTGCATTTGCATGCTTTCGAACTGCAAGGTTGGCAGGAGCTGGGACAGAGCAATGGGAACTCACCCTGTTGGGCAGATTCTAAATGGCAACCTTTCAATCAACCAGCCCAGTAGCACAGCAGTTTAAACCACTGCGCCACCTGCATCCCATCCATCACATAAAGTTATCCAAATTATTACTTCTTCCTTAAAGGAAGCTACCATTGGGCATTGCCAAAACACATGAAGAATAAAAGCATTAGCCATCTTGCATATCCGTCATCCAGTATACTTGAAACACCATTTTTTGCTGAATTAAGTGTAGTCTAAGATTCACAACTCCCTGAAAAATTGATAGTAATGAAGTATGCCTTCAACTGGGCAAGCCTGGGTGCTCAAATTCATTACCCCATTCTTGCTTAAAACCCTATATACCATATTTATTAACCTATAATAGATATTTATAGACATGAATTGCACAGCAATGTAAGTGTTCAGTCTCCGTTAATAGTTCCAATAACACAAGCAATGCAGAAGTTGTAAAAACAGCAGGACCAAACTTGGATTCTAACAAATGTTTCATTACATACACTACCATGCAGTCATAGCTTCTATGTAGTAGTCACAGCAGAAAATGGCAGAAAATTATAATCAAGAATGACAAGCCTCGAAAGAAAAAAAAATGAGACTATCCATCTAAGCCTGCCAAACAATTTCTTCCCAATTTTTGATTCCAGATTTCTCCATAAGGTAAAGTTGCATATAAAAATACATCAAACTGCAATTGACATGAAAATATATGCCACAGGTCTCTAGCTCTTGCAACTGGAAGAGGTAAGTATTATATGGGAAATATTTCCAGAGTTTAATGTTCTATAAATTCTGGTGGGATTCTATGCTATCACAAATATCCTTGAAAAGGATGTCACTTTCAGTCAGAGAGGATGGATTCAGACTCCCTCACCTTTCTTTAATACCATCAGGCCTATCTGTAGACTTGTACTAGATTTAGATCTTTTCTGCTCAGATTAGATTCCTTTCCCTGGTCAGTTTTGTCACCTTCATTTCTGAATCCTGTTCCTGAGTGGATTGCATTCTTCTTTTGTTAACCTCCCAAAGACAGTTTATCTCCTACTACTGATCTTCCTCTGCTTTGAAGAGCCATGCAAAAAACCAAAGCCCCAAGAAAATATGATTCACTATGCAATGTTTTGCATTTACAGTGAAATGTCTACAGTGGTGAATCCCAGCATTTCCATGGGTGACGTGTGTAAACTATAGAACCCCTGACATAGGAAACATAGAAAACAGAGCAAGTCAGAAGGGGTCTCCCGGGCCACCTAATCTGACCTCCGGCACCAGCCGGCTTCTCTCTGTTAAGTCTGTAACTGTTCCTCACAGACTATCTGGACAATATCTGTCAGCAAAAGAAAACTGTAGCTCTAACAGAATCCAGCTGCCTGTGCAAAATCTACAAAGAGGACCAGAAAAAAAGGCAGGTAATCCTAATCCTACCTCTGCTGACACCTAGAATTATCAGTCTTCACTGCAGCATAAGTGCAACAATCAGCAAATGACAAGAAAAAAAATAAGTCTGGCCATCCCCATTTATTTTTTTTTAACAATTAATGAGGTTTCTCTTCCGAACTCCAATACAAACTCCCCCATAGCTGTATAGAACTTCTATGCTTTACCCTTGCATCTATATAAAAATGCAGGACTCCAGCCTGGACCCAAGTACCAAATAAGTTTTGTTTTGAGAACTGGCAATCCCAACTGTAACATCCTTAATTAAGAAGTGACTATGAGGAAGCAATGTATGCACAGGAATCTCAAAGACTGAGGGGTTTTCCTGCAAGTGATATATTGCTCTTCAGCAGGACAAAGAGAGCTCCATCTTTCTCATGTAGGCTACAATTTATGCAAAAGCACAAGCATCACAGTTATAATATAATCTTTATTAGTGCTCGGTGAGCAGCACTGGCTTCCAGTGCATTTCTAGCCTCAGTTAAAAGCACTAGTATTAGCAATTAAAGCCCTTAACAGCTTGAGGGCAAGCTGCCTAAGGGACTGCATCTTCCTGTATATACCTGCACCGCCCTTTATTGGAGGCCGTCACCAGATTCATGAGGTGAAGTAGATGCCTGCTGCACAGAGAATGTTTTCAGTGATTGTGCCCCGATTATGGAATTATGGAGAGGTTAACCTATCTCCTGTGTTCGGCTCTTATCACCACCAGACCTTTCAAGTTATGTTTCATGTATATTTTGAGTTAGGAACTAAGTGTTATTCCTCAGCTGGGTTTTAGTGCTGCTTGCTATTTCAACTACTATGTACTGGTCCCGTGCCAATTTCTGTGTCCATTTTTTATATTTTG